CATGTTTGTTTTTTGAATGAGCATCTTGCAAGAGCAGCTGAACAAAAGGGCGGTGGAATTCTTTTGATTTGCACACAGACTGGAAGAGTACGAGGAGGTTTTGTACATCAAGAGATTTCTGCGACAGCTTGACACGGGGAAGGAGGAAGGAGCAAGGAATTGAAGCACCTCGAATGCCAGCTGAGACCCAGAGCGCTGGGTGTGGTGGGAGGGTCGCCATCCCGTCCCCTGCCTGTGTAAACCCGTCGTGCCTCAGAGAATTCCCAGCTGTAACTGGGGGGCTGCACAGTTAACCCGGAGCGTTCCTGTCACGAATGGAAAATGGCTGGAGAAATGCGGATGGCTGGCGCACCCGCAGGAGGGGGGGCCCCTCCTTCCTTCCTTCCCCCCTGGAATCGGGCGCGGGATCGTGCAGATGCCTGACGACGCTCTCTGCTACCTTTTAATAATGCAGCAGGCTTGCAGAGGAGGGCGAGATCAGCCTCTCCTCGTTCCCAGGGCTGCTGCATTGGCGCTCCCGGCGGTCCTGCAGCCGGAGGAGGAGCGGAGGAGCAGAGGAGCAGAGGAGCAGTGCCACCGCGCGGGCTGCGAGGAGGACTCCGGAGCCTTCGCTTTGTGGCGCCGAGGTCTGAGCCTTTGGCTGCCGCCTTAATGAATTCTTGCAGGGCACACGCCCGGCCACCGGAGCGACTGCAGCCTGCTTTGTTAAGCCTTTAGAAACAAACTGTTCAGGGACGAGGCCAGATGTATAAATCACCGTTAGCTTTTTCCTCCCCGCCCATCTGGTGAAGGGGGCTCTGCTCTGTGCAACTGCACCGGCGCAGATGGTTTTTCAGGGGGAGCTTTCAGGGCTCTTTCTGGTTTCAAAAGCAGAATTCCTGGTGTATTAAAAGCTCTTATTCTTTTCTTCCCCCCCACCCCCGCCTGCCATCCCACCCTCCTTGTCCCTCCCCAGGTTGTACCAGGCACAGTCCTGTTTCCAGCAGCAGTAAATTAGCGCAGGTTCTGAGAGGAGGGGAGAGCATTTTCCCTCTTCCTGTAAAAATGGAAGAGCAGCTGCTGTCTTATGAGCAGCACTACCCCTCATGCTGCTTTCTCTTGCCCTCCATCCCTTCAGAAGCAGCCGTGCAGCTCCTGTGCTGAGTTATTCCCTGGGGAGCCGAGAGGTTTCTCTGGAACTCCCTCAACGTCTCCTGTAGGAAAACGCGGAGCACGAGTGAAGCGGAGCCTCCCCGATGTGCTGACAGACAGCAGTGACAGGCTGCCTCCTCCTCGAGTGACAACTCTGCTGCTTCAGCTGCTCACCCTCCTCATCTCGGGGAGCAGTTTGGGGTTGACTTGTTTGCTTTGAGACACATTTCATATCGACACAGCTGGGTCTGCTGGGAGGAGGCATCTGCAGAAATGACTGGAAACAAAGGCTGGTGCAGTGATGCAGGCTCCTGGTGGTTGTGTGTTCTGTGACCTGCCAGCAGTGAACAGAGCCCTACATGGGGCACAAAAATACCCAGAAAATGGCTTTAGGTGTATGTTCCTGACCCTCAGCCACTCGACTGTAGCCAAAGCTTTGCCTGATGCTGGTGCCCAATGGAAAAAGCAGAAGTGGGAGAATTGGTTAAACCCCGGATGGGTGCTCTTGCTGCTCAGAATTAGTGCCCTTAATTCCATTTAGTGTGACTCACCCAGCTGGAACTGTTTGTGTTCCATACATACAATGTCCTAGTATTGGAAGTGGTGTCTCCAGGTGTGATCCATTGGAGCTGCTGGCCAATGGCTGCAAATGTGATACCAAATCCATTGATTCCTCTTGGTTCTCCAGCACTAAGGATGTGTATTACTCTCACTGCTGCTTTGTTCAAGGTGCTCTGTGTTACCTGTTCTCTGCTGATAACTGGAGTTATATTCCCTCAGGGAGGGGAGGGTGAGGGATTGCTCCCAGGGCAGGAGGAAAGCACTTAGCTTCTGATGAGTGTTCTCCCCAATTTCTGGGACACTGGGCCACCTGGTGACAGGAGGAACAACCCTGTCCTGACATGGGCTTTGCCTGGGTGTGAGAAGGTGAGTGGCCTCCTGGGCCAGCCGGAGCAGGAGCTGCCGGTGCCACGCAGGGTTGAGCTCCCACGCTCGCTGGCACAAACACTTCCCTAAAAGCTTTCTCCTTTGAATAATTGATGCCTCTTGATCCTCGAGGGATGCCCTAATTGCAAAACCGGTGGCACGGGTTCAGGTTTTAAATCCTGGTTTTAAATAAGGTTCTGAATTTCCTTGCACAGCCGTGGCTGGGGGATCCTGGAGGTGACACTTGAAGGTCCACAGGCTGCCAGAGCTGGGCTAAAGCCACATGTCCCCAGTGCTGCCCACAGGAGCTCCCTGCTGGGGAGGGGCAGTGATGAGACACCACTTCTGTTTATGAGGGTTTTCCTTCTCCTGGAACCTCCATCCTCACTGGGAAGTGCTTGGGCAGAGGGGACACAGAGCTGGGAGCTTTCCCAGTCCTGATGCAAGGGAAGGATGTGCTGGTGCTGCCCCAAGGTAGGTGCAAAACCCCTTCACCTTGAGCACTGATTCCAGCTCTGGAAGCCCTGATGTGAGGGGGAAGTGGAACTGTGGAGTGAGTCCAGAGGAGTCCAGGGAGATTCTCTGAGGGCTGGAGCCCCTCTGTGCTGGAACCAGGCTGGGAGAGCTGGGGGTGTTCACCTGGAGAAGAGAAGGCTCCAGGGAGACCTGAGAGCCCCTTCCAGGGTCTAAAGGGGCTCCAGGAGAGCTGGAGAGGGACTTGGGACAAGGGCATGGAGTGACAGGACAAGGGGGAATGGCTTCCACTGACTGAGGGCAGGGCTAGATGGGATATTGGGAAGGAATTCTTCCTTGTAGGGTTGGTGAGGCCCTGGCACAGGTTGCCCAGAAGAGCTGTGGCTGCCCCATCCCTGGAAGTGTCCAAGGCCAGGTTGGACAGGGCTTGGAGCAACCTGGGCTGGTGGAAGGTGTCCCTGCCAGGGCAGGGGGCAGAACAAGATGAGTTTTAAGATCCCTTCCAATCCAAACCGTTCTGGGATTCACCCTGCAGAGGCTGACGGGGGGACAAGCTGCAGGGAAGGGAAACCAAGAGGAGGAAGAGATGCTGTTGGTGCTGGGGAGGCTCCACCTGAGGGGGTTCAGGCTTGGTGGAGCCCCCAGGGAGAGTGGGGGATGTGGTGCTGTAGGAGGCACAGAGGGAACAGGACACAGCAGGAGTGGAGGGTGAGGAGAAACCAAGAGGCTTTGGAGTTCTGAGCACAAACAGCTTGACAGAGAGCAGGAGCAGAGGCTGAGCAAGAATGCAAGGGGAGACTGAAGGGTGTAGGAGACAAACAGCAGAGCAGGAGATGGTGGAAAGGCAAGAAGGAGCGAGGCTGAGCTGGAACAGAAACCGAGAGACTGGGGAGGCTGAAGGAGAGATTAGTCTATGCAAAGATGCAGAATGAGAAAGAACTGAGGCTAAGGGAGTGCTGAGGCTGAACAAGGGTGGAGGCCAAGGTAACTTCTGGGGCTGGAAGACACTTGGAGGTCTAGAGGAACTGGGATGCTAATGATGCCACAGGTTTTGGGGCCAAGGTGTTGGAGACTCTGGGAGCTGAGGTTGTGGGGCAGGAAACCACAGGTCTGGAGACCACAGGAACTGATGGCATGAGAGCAGAGCCTGTTGGAGCAGACTCCACAGGAGGGAGCTAAGGCTATGGAAGATGATGCTGTGGAATTGGAGGCCCCAGTGGAAAGGGAAGGTAGCAATGTGAGAGGGGAGGCCAAGAGGGTCTTCACATTGAGAGAGTGGGAGATAGAGGAGGCCTGGAGGTTGGAAGGCCAATGGACTGTTGGTACTGAGAGAGTGTGGGAGGTGACCAGAGTGAAAGGCTCACCCTCCCAAGTGATGCCTTTTTTAATGAGAAAAAAGCATTTACATTTAAAGAAATACATAATATGGAAGGGACAGAGTCTGTTTATAACTCTCTGCTCGTGCTTTCTCCAGCTTTCCCAGTGCCAGTTTGTACATATATTGACTCATTTATTCTTCCAAACTCGAAGTTTTAGTTTGAGAAAGTGGAAGGGATGAGCTCCTATGAAGAGCAGTTCCTCACCAAGCAAAAAATTTCTACACTCTCCTTTATTTGAGATGAGAACTTCAAGTTACATGTTGAAATCCTTATTTTTCTATGGTAGCTTTCAAAGCCAGGTCAGATAAAAATATTCCCTTGAAGCAGCTCAATCTGCAGCTGGTTCCTCACTTTTAACAGCTATTTGGAGTAACCCAAAGCAAACATATGTAGATCCAGTGTTTTCGAAAGTTCTCAGCCTTGGATGAGCTTCCACATTTAAACCAAATTCCACTGAGGATTTTGGTGCCTGTCCCAGCTCCTCATGTCCTGTCATGAGGTAAAGCCTCACCATCAGCACTGACCTGTTCTCCCCTCCCAAGCAGTGCTGGAAGCTGGCAGTGGAGCTTTCCACCCTGGATCCTTGTAGCTTCAACCAGTAACTCCTTGGATCCAAGTCCATGTTTGACGTATTTACAGCTCTGCTGTAAATTGTTCTGGTGCACAGTGGAGATTCCAAGCAGGGAAAGGTGAGCTCTCTGTGGGGACTGGTGGACAAAGTGTCACTGATGGTGGGACCAGGCTGAAGAGCCCCCACGAGACATCCCTCCCAATGGCTGGGACACGAGGGAGGGTCTGCGGAGGTCAAGAGGGAGGATGAAGTCAGGTGCTGCTAAATGGGAAGTGATTTCTGTCACTCACTGGGAGTGCACAAGAATAAGAGAATTTAACTTCCTGAGTGGGAGCAAACAGCCCTGTGCAACCTCCAGCCTTCACTTTATCCTTCAGCTCCTGGCAAAGCCTGAGCTGGGTCAGCCAGTCTGGGTAGAAGCTGTTCCAGTCACTGGCAGCGGAGGGTGAAGCAACTGTGATTTGAGGGCAGAGGGAGCACCCCTCCATTCTGATCCTGTGCAGGAACATCCACTGTGGTCACACCATGGGTGTCTTCTCTTGGGAAGGAGAACAAAAAAACTTGAAGTGGCCGTCATCAGGACTGGGAGTGGCCCCAGCGCTTCCCGTGCTGCAGATCCCGGTGTAGGAGGGAGCAGCTCTTTCCCCAGCGTGACACAAGGTGCTGTGGCATGATTTGGTCTCTTGTACAGCAGAGCCCTGTCCAGGGAAGCAGAAGCCACAGGTTTCCACTGGCTCTGGGGCTCTGCTGCCAGTGAATCCCTCACCGACGCTGCCCGCTTCCACCAGCCGATCTGCAGAGAAACTGTGTTAGCTGAGGGGTTTTTAGGAGCACCTTTTACCTAAGGAATGCCCCAAAGGGCTGCACTAAAACCCATGAGGAGCTGGGCCTGGAACTGGAGAGGACAGGCAGGTCCCAGCACTGTGTGTGTAGAGAAATTGGTAAGTAGACAATTTTTTTGGAAAGGCAGGGGAGGAGAGGAGGAGGAAGAATAAAAACCCCTTTTCTATGTTGGATTGCTCCACATTATTTTTTCCTTATTTTTTCTCCTTAATGCAAGGACTTGTAAAGCCTCTGTGGCTCCAGAGCTAAAACTGGGTCTTCCTGGGACGGGTGGTCCATTTTGGAAGAGGGTTGGCTTCTGGATGGAGAGTGGAGAGGTGCTGGTGGACGGTCCAGCTCCAGCCCTGTGTGGCAGCAGGAAGCTGTGCCTGGGACTTTGTGGGGAGTGACTGAGAAGGGGATTATGGAGGAGAATTGGGGCACAGGGGTCCAGTCCTGCTCCCCATCCAGGCTCAGGCTGAATGATGTTGCCCATCACTGGCTTTACTTTATCTCCCTCTCCCTCTTAGGATCTGGCTCTGTTTCCTGCCCCTCCAGCAGTGCCTGGGAGCCTGAGCCTGCCCACCACCCTCTCCCAGTCCCCCCAGTACATCCAGCACCCACCTTTGCCAGAGTCCTCCCTGCAGTGGCAGGTCCCAGCGCCGGCTTGGCAGGAGCCCACCTCTCCCTTCCTGCGTAGGTGTGTCCAGCCCAGGAGCAGGGAGCAGATGAGGGCGCAGAGGCAGAGCCCCAGCAGCAGATACACCACGAGCCAGGGCTCCTGCTCCGCACACGCCTTCTGCTCCAGCACGGCCGCGGGCGACGGGGGCGAGGCTGCGGGTCAGGCAGAGGTGGGTGAGCTCAGACACCCCTCGGGTACGTGATTCCCTCACTGACTTTTCATAACACTCATGCTCTCCACTGGGAAATAATCTGAGGGCAGCTCTGTACCCCTCTGTCTGCCGGCATTTCTCTTCCAGGGTGAGATAGAGGAGATCCCTTCCCACACCCCGTGCACAGCCTTCCCCCACCTTCAGGGATCATTTCACTCAACCCCCGTGTGGGACTTGTAGATCTTGGGATCTACCAGTCCCTTCTCACTCCCCCTCCTTGAGGGCTGGGGGCGGCTCAGCCAGGTGGGATCTGCAGGTGCCAGTCCTGCCCTGGCTGGTGGAGCTGACAGGCCTGTAAATCACCAGCACACGACAGGGAAAAGGCACTGCAGCCCCCCCCCTCCCAGGACGAAGAGCAGGGTGGGCTTTGCTGCCCCTTCCCCATCTTCAGTCCTGTAACCCGGCTCCTCTTCCAGCCCAGCCCCGGGTCCCTCCCCCATCTCACTCACGTTCACAGGATGGGGCACATTCCTTGGGGTGCTGCCCACAGATGGTGCTGCACTCGATGCAGCTTCTCACGAGGTCATCGTAGTAGAATCCAGGGGTCTTGTTGCAGTCCATGGACTCTGCAGGAGAGGAGGGAGATGAACACGGTGTCCTCAGCACATCCTCCCACACGAGGCTCCCAAACCACCCTCCCAGCACCCCTGGGCACCCGGATTCCTGAGAGGACGAGCCCAAGCTCACGGTTCCGATGCACTGCCATAAACATGGACAACCTCTCCAGGACTGGCAGGGTGACAGATCCACAGGATTTGGGGTGGTGTTTGGCTGGGTGATGAATACTGGGGAAAGGCATCTGCTGGCAGCTGCACAGGGAGGGAATGGTTGCAGCCAACTGTACCCACCTGCAGCTGGGAGCTCCTGGCTGCTGCTCTTAGAGCTGCTGCTGCTGCCCTGGGGCTTGCACAGCTTTTTGGGACATACCAAAACCTGCCTGAGCCCTGGCTCAGAATGCTGGGGATGGCATCTCTGTCCTCAACAGAGAGACGTGACTTGTGGCTGCGTGTGCAGGGCTGTGTCCCCTGAGCCCTGGGACAGGGTGGAGCCATCCCAGACTGTGGCTCACCAGGGAGGGAAGGGGCACTGCACAGGGTCTGGGTGCAAACTGCATCTGTCCCTTTTCCTCCTCCCCACCTGTTACACGACACCTCAGAGCCTGTACCAGCTCAGGGCCCACGATTCAGCCTCACAGACCTACAGACCTACAGCTTGGGTTTATCATTATCCACATCCACTGAACCTGATGGCTCTCCAGGCCCCGCCTTTGGAGGGTGGGGTGACACCAGTGGGGGACATCAGTGTTAATGCAGCCCTGTGACCCCAGAAGGGAGCAAGCAGTGTGGTGGGCAACTCCATCCTGGTCTGTGCTGAGCCAGTGCCAGCCCCAGCCCATTGCTGGGAAGCCATTGCATTTTTGTGACATTTTGGCTCATTTTTTGAGCCGAAGAGTCCCGCATTTTTGGCCCAAAGCTCTGCTAAGCTGAGCTGGCTCAGAGCCTACCCTGGGGTTCATCCCAGGGTCTGATCCTCCCTCCCAGCTTTGCCCCATCCCTGCCTGCTCCATCCCAGAACAGCCCTGTGGTACCCATGACTGCCCTGCTGGCACTCACCGCACACGGCATCACACCTCCTGGCTGTGGGCCGGCCACACACGAGGCTGCAGGGGATGCACTGGGAAACAAGGGTGTCCCAGTACTCCTGGTCAGTGCAGTTGTTCATGGCATCCCGCCCCACACGTGTCCCATCCATGGCTGCGGAACGAGAGGCACAGGTAGGTACGGGGTGGCCACCACGGGGCTGCTCTGCAGCCACCTCATCCCTTTCTAGGGCTGGGATCACTCACAGGGGGACCAGAAACGCGACCTGAGTGAGCACTGGTGACGTTTTCCGAAACAAATTTTAGTTCTGGAAACTTCTGAATTCCTCTGTGGCTCTGAGGTGGTTCGTGTGTCATTTCTGACATCTCTCTTGGGTGTTATGGCATCACAGTGAAACCCCATCTGATGTGTAAGGCTCCCTGAAGCAGCAGGAGGGACGTGTCCCCAGGAGAGCTTTAGTGCCACCTGGGATGGTGCTCCTGTCCCTGTGACGGGCTGTTTGCCCCACCATCCCCTGCCACGGTGCTCCCAGTGCCCGTGTGTGCTGGGTGTGACACCAAAGACACAGAAACGAGGCATGAGCAGCCCTCAGCAGCCCCAAAATCTGGTCAACAACTTACACTTGATGAACACCATGCCGGGTTAACGCCACGTGCGGGATCTGCGGCCACGGAGCAGCTGCAGGAAGCTCTAACCCAGCACGGGGGCGGCCGTGGTGGAAATGTGCTCTTTGCTGACCGAGAGGGCTCGTGGGACACCACATCCCTCAGCAGAGCTGTGCCAGGAGCCGCAGCTGTTTCCTGCACCAGTGGGTGATGCCGGCGCTGCCGGGGCCCAGAAGGGTTAAAACTCTCCGAAGGCGAGGAATTGACCCCGCCTGCCCGAAGGCTGCACCACTGCCTTGGTGAAGCCAGGCTCAGATCTTTATCCAGAAAATCCCCTGCGCTCCGCCAGGATCTCTCCTCTCTCTCTAGAACTCAGGAGCGTGCAGAGGTTGGGCACTTTGTGCGTCCGTCTGTCCTGCCACCTCCCACCCTGCAGAGGGGCTGTGGATGCGCGTCCTCCGCTGCCGGCCGGCTCCTACCTGAGGCAGCACAGGTAAAACCCTCCCATTCCCAGGGATAAATCCTCTCTCAGCACAGGGATGCCGGCCTTATCTTCCCAGTTGTTCAATTAACATTGCTATAAAATTAAATAATGACTTTCTGTCGAGGTGGCTGGAGGTATCCCCAGGGCAGAGGGAGGTGGTTTCCTCCAGTGCTCTTTGAAGATACTTTATATCCAGAGAGGAAAAAATGACAAGATCCCTGGGGATGGCAGGAAGCCCTTGGGAGTTACAGGAAGCCCTGGGGATGTCAGGAGTCCTTGGGGATGGCAGTGAACCCTGGGAATGGCAGCCTCAGCCATCCTTGACCCAAGGTGGAGTTTCCCAAGGGATAATCGCATGGGAAACAGAGGTTTGGGGCTGTGTCAAAGCCAGGGGGATGCAGGCTGTGGACCTCCTTCCCAGCTGCTCTGAGGGCAGGTCCAAGGAGATGTTTGGCCCTATCTAGGACAAATCCTGCCTGATGGCTGAGCTCCCCTCCCTGGAGACCCCCAGGATGCACATGGTGCTCCCAGCACGGTGCAGCCAGGCTTTGCAGCCGTGGGTTTTCCAGCAGAGCAAGGTGCGTCTGCCCCTCTGTCCCTCCAGCCATTAGGGACCAGCACCCTGAATTCCCCCATGGATCCCGCATCCCAAGCATCAGCTGACCATAGGACAAGATGGAATGACTTTAGGCTGAAGGAGGGTAGATTTAGATCAGTTATTAGAAAGAAATTCTTCCCTGTGAGAGTGGTCAGACACTGGCACAGGTTGCCCAGAGAAGCTGTGGTTTCCCACACTTCCCTGGAAGTTCAAGGCCAGGTTGGACGGAGCTTGGAGCAACCTGGGCTAGTTGAAGGTGTCCCTGCCCATCGGGGGTGGGGGGGTGGGGGGAACGAGATGAGCTTTGAGATCCACTCCAACCCAAACCATTCTGTGGTTCCACCTCCAGCCCCCCAGCACTGACCACTTCAGCAGGGTGGGAGCCCTTTGTGGTGGCTCTGCTCCTCCAGCAAGGACCTGAGGAGACCCTCCACTCCCTGCTGGCACTCTGGGAACGTGGCCAAGCCCCAGGCCCTGGCACAGACCAGCCCCTCACCCCCATCTCCCCATGCAGCCCCCCCATGGGGTGACTCACGTTTGACTCTCCCACGGTGTCTAATCCCCCTCGGCTCCTGCCATGGCACCACGAGCTCCAGCCCTGGACCCTTGCATGGCTTGGGGGGTTTATTATTAGAGACCGATTTGATTAATGCCTGGGCTGTGCATTTCCTGGGGTTTCCCCTTATCCCTTCCATGCAAATCGGCCACACACCCAGCGCGTTGCATTGGCTCGTCGGGTCCCTGGGCTGCCGGGAGTGCGGGTCACGGTGGGAGGGACACTGCGGGCTGATGTGTCACCGGGAGCAGGGACAGGTGTCCTGGGCCAGGCAGCCACCTTTCAGAGGGGCTTGGAGGGACAGGGGCTCTGTGGCACCAGCCCTTGGATCACCTGGCTGCAATAGAATCCCAGAATTATTAGGTTTGGAGAAGACCTCTAAGATCATCGAGTCCAACCTTAACCCAGCACTGCCACGTTCACCACTAACCATGTCCCCGAGTGCCGCATCTTCACCTGCATCTGGTCGTCGTTCTTTAGGCCTATAACTCCGAAGATGCATCTACACATCTTTTAAATCCCTCCAGGGATGGTGATTCCACCACTGCCCTGGGCAGCCTGTGCCATTGGGATGTTTTATTCCACAGAGAAGGATGTTTTGCTCTGTGGAGGAGGCAGCTGTGGGGACCAAGCATCTCTTGGGGCATCCATCCTTTCCCTGTCCAAAGGGTGGTCAGCCCACACCACTGTTTTGTCTCCTGCTCACAGCTCATCTTGTGGGCCCCAATAAGATACTTTAAATACTGATTTTCTCTGGTGCATCCATGGCTGGGAGGCAGGAGAGCTGTGCTATGTCCTGCCTGAGCAACCAAGGTCCTGACTGGGCTCAAGGCACAAAGCATGAATAACACAGCTTGGTTTCACAGTGGGAAAGAGCCACCTCTGTGCTGCTGGAAGCTTCCAGAGGATTCTCCCTGTTTCCTGCAGAGGTGCTGGGCAGGGCTGTGCTGTGTCTGTGGTGTGGGGAAGGGGCACAGGGCCCTGGGAGCACAGTGGAGCAGTGACTCAGCTCAGTCCAGTGGGACCTTTCTGCAGAAACTGCTGAATGAGGAAGGAAACAGCAATATCTGTTACTATAAATGCCAGTGGAGCAGCATCAAGGTTTTTTCTGTTCGGTTCAAAACCTCCCACTTCATGCTTGCCGTGGTGAGCTGCAACTCATCAGAAGGATGTTTTCCTACTGTGTCCATTACAGGGACATCAGAAGCCGAACCTGCTCACAGGGAGCACAGCCCAAAGCAGAGGAACACAGCAGCTCATGGCTGGATGTGGCCCATCACATCCTGGATCCTGTGGGAGGGACGGAAGCAGCATCGGCACCATCCCATGGACAGCAGGGCTTGGAGTGAGGACCAGGAGAGGAGACACTGTGGCCAGAGGGACTCTGCAACTCCAGCACTGTGCCACGTGTGTGGCTGTGCATCTGGTGAAAGGGGTGGGATTGTTCTGGGTTTGAGTGTCCCACTGGGAAGATGTGTGGAGTGTCCTGGGAGGGAGTGGAAGGCAGAGGCACTGGAAGGGGGGTTGTGTGGTGCAAGGGCTTGGGGGGGAAATGCACCTTTGCAGGCAGCTGGTGGCTGTCCATGTGCAGAGTCATCTCATTCATTCTGTGCCCGGGCAGAGGGCAGAGCCTGCGGCCCATTTCCATGCAGAGATAAAGCTGATGGTGAAGGAAATTGTGATTTTGGCATTGCCTGGGCTGGTTGAGTGTGGCAGAGCATGGCCCCTGAACAGTGGCCCTGGAGCAATGCCCCGAGCCCTCCAGCTCTCGGGGTTTTGCAGGGGAAACTCACCTCTGTAAATAGCAGCCAGAGACTTGCAGTTTCCACCCTGGTGACCTTCAAGAGGGAAGTGAGAAGCACTTGGGGGTGGTTTGTCCCTCCTCGCTGAGCAGGGATCAGGCAGTGTGGTTTCTGCTTTAGAATCCTCGGTGTGTGCTGGGCTGGAGCCCCGTCTCCTCAGCCGTGTGCCCCCAGGTCTGGCCCTTTGTGCTCCCAACAGCATCACCCGTCCCACAGCCCCTGGGGTTGCAGTGTGGCTCTCAAACACCTCCAGACATGGTCCCCTGTGAGCTGCCCTCTCCCAGCCAAGGTGGTGGCTGCTGCTCTGCCCTGCCTGGGGTTGTCCCTGTGCTCATCAGGGGATCAGGCAGCAGCTGCCAGCCCCCTGCTCTGGGTTCCTGAGTTAAACCTTTCCTTTGCTGTGTTCACAGGTTCCCCAGAGCATCAATCAGGAGCTCCTTATGCATCCTCTCAGTGCAATGCATCCCTATGCATTCATCTGCATGGCTTGGCATCCCACAACATCCCCTCTGCATCCCCCCACATTGATTTGCATCCTTCAGTGCCCATCTGCTCATGGCTACAGAGATGCCATAGTCTGTTTGGGGTGATAGAACCCAGTTTGTCCCAATAATAAAACGTATTTTTCCTCTGGGCTCTTGCCCCAGTGGCAGTGCTGTGAAGAGAGGTGCAGGTAACAGGCAGACAGGGTGGATAATGTTTGGCTCTAAAAATTTTGGCGAGTTCTTTGCCTTCCCTTCGAGCAGCTTTGCCAGGATATTTTCCTCCCAGCCTCCCCCCAGCCCATCTGCCTTTTGCAGTCCCTGCACCTCGGCCAAGGCATTTGCTCACACACATGCTCCCTTTGGGACCTGAAAAAAGGGGCCATGAGAGGAAGAAGGGGAAGAGGAGCCCTTTAGGGTCGAAACTGCCAACTGCAGGACTGGGCTGGGTGCAGATGGCTCCGAGCACTGCTGCTGAGGACTCTTTTCTGTCACCCTAATTCCCCTCAGATGCTCTGGAGTCAGGATGTGTCTGTCCCCTGGGCTCTGCCTGGCTGTCATCCCTGTCCTGCTACTGCCACCAATGTCTCATGGCAAACAGAGCAACTATGTGACCAAACTCACGGGGTTGCTGGTGCAAACAGCCACCAACACTGCCTGGGTTTTCAGTGCATGGACAAATCCATGAGGATGTGCCTGCTGTCTGTGCATTATCTGCACCCACACATCGTTTCAGAGCTGTGGCCGTGCCGTGGCCATCCCACTCGGGAAGAACCACCACAGTGTGCTTGTGGCCACGTTTCCAGCCGCCCTGCCTGCCTGCCCTGCCTGCAGCACCCCGGCCGGGAGCCGACGGCAGCACTGGCAGTGCCTGGGCAGTGCCTGGGAGCCTCGGGGTGCAGCTCCAGCTCCCCACTCCTGCACCCGGGTGCGATGCTGGGCCCGGCTGTGTGGGTCTGTCCCCAGGAGATGGCACCCTTGGCCAGCCCAGCCCGGCTCCTGCTGGGTGCTGGGGCTCTGGCTGCCCTTGCAGCCTGAAAATCCTCCAACTGGCCACTCCGGCCCTGCCTTTGCCAGCCAAGGCCGAGGGCCAAGGGGGATCACAGCACCCTGGAATGGTTTGGGTTGGAATGGACTTTAAAATTCATCTTGTTCCAACCCCCTGCCATGGGAAGGGACACCTTCCAGTAGACCAGGTTGCTCCAAGCCCCGTCCAACTTAGCCTTGGACACTTCCATGTGGCCTAATGTAGGGGTGCTGCCCCACAGCCCCAGGCTGGCTCCTGCCCAGTCCCCAGCACCTCCATTTGCACCAGCCCCCGGTGCCTGGTGGGGTTCAGATCCCCCCAAACATCCCACACTGCTCTGTTCCTCCCTTCACACTTTATCCTGCCAACACCCCACAGGCTTGCAGCAGGGCATCATCCCAAGGGTGCTCAGCACCCACCAGTGTCTGTGCCGAGGGTCTGCCCCTCACAGCAACTGTGGTGAGACCCAGGGTGACCCAGGCTCCAGAGGTGTCCCTGTTCATCATCACGGTGATGCTGCAAGAGCCTCCTTGCCAAAACCTGGCACACATCAGGAAAGGGAAGCATTACCACAGACCAGGCTGTGCTCAGGGCTGGCTCCCCAAACCTGGTAGCCAACTGGAGAGCAAGGACAGACAGACAGGAAGAGACCTGGCTTGGCTGAGGGCTGGCATGGAAGCGAGGATAAAACCCTATAAATGCGTGGGGAAGGAGCAGGGAAAGGAGGGTTCATGCCAGGGCTGTGTGCTGAGGTGTAAAGCGGGGGTGGCGGATAAGGGAGATGAGTCAAAGAGCAATCTTTGGTCAGAGCAGCTGATCAGATTAAGTGGAGCTTTAACCTGGTGGGAACAACTCCCTGTCCCCATCCCCGACACCACTGGGTTTTCTCAGGAGAGGCGTTCCTGGCAGGACCCTCTCAGGAAGGGACTTGCAGCCTGCCCAGGAGCTCCGCTGCTAATTTTTAACACTAAAAACCCTGGGGAAATTCCAGAGGGCTGGAGGGCAGCCAGTGGGAGTCTAATATTTAAAAGGGATAAAAGGGCTGACCCTGGGAATTACAGACCAGGTAAGGCTGATCGCAGTCCCTGCACAAATTATGGGCTGGGTAATTGGGGATACTGTCAGCCAAAAATTAGAAGCTAAAAATATAATTAAGGTCGTTAGCTTGGTTTCATGGATGGCAGCTCCTGTCAAGTGAGTCGGCTTTGGTTTTTGGCATGACTCTGGGCTGGCTGATAAAGCTAATTGTGCTGCTGCATTATAATGGGTTTCTCCAAAGTATTTAATTTAGGGCCATGTGACATTTTCGTTTGTAAAACTTGCATTATATGGAGTCAGCAGAGCAGACATCCGACGGCTGCACTGGCAGCTCCGGGGTGGTGGCCAGGGGGGCGAGTAATGGAGGAGGCTGAGAGGACCCGAATTTGCATGGGATGATGCTTTTAGCAGGGATGCTGAGGTGAGAGGGGATCACAGGGGGGTCCCCTCTGCCCAGCCTGACAGGCAGGGCCCAGCCTAAAGGTGGAGACACACGTGTGGGAACAAAAGATACGGATCTTCCCTGCTAAAGCACGGTGAGGTCCAATGGCAGCAGCAGCCACAGGACCCAGTGATAACCCAACTGGGAGGATAACTAATCAGTTGTAGGAGAAGAGCATGAACTCACAGACATTTGGCATCTCTGGACAAGAGGAAAGCTCTGCTTGGTGGGGCAGGATTTACTGTAGCTTCTGGGAGAAGCTCAAGCCTCTGTGTGTGTGTGAAACCTGCTCTGGACCATCCTCGTGCTCTTTTCCAGCTCCATGGGAGCTGCATCCTCCTCTGTGGGATGCATCAGCTGTATTTGAGTGCTGTGGATTTCCTCCAGTGGATAATTTGGGTCCTTTTATTTTTTCCAGTGAGAAAAATGGAATTGGATGGGGCTTTGAGCAACCTGGCCTTGTGGAAGGTGTTCCTGCCCATGGCAGGGGAGTTGGAACGAGATGATCCTTAAGGTCTTTTCCAGCCTAAACCACCCTATGATTCTGTGATTCTATGAAAATCAGGCACAGGAAAGGCAGGGCACAGAGACAGTTCCCAGGGCAATTCCTGGGAGACTTTCCCTCCATCCATGAGGGTGTTTTTCACCCTATATGGATTTCTAACCTGTGGATTTCACCCCTATAAGACACAGGATGGCTTGAGGGCCATTCGAACCTCCCTTGATCAGTGGTTCCCATGCCAGATGTTCCCCAGGCACGGCTGTGCTGGGGGCTCTGGACCCCCACACAACCAGGGGCTGCATCCAGCATCCTACAGGTTGGAACAGGGCAGGAGGATGGGAGCCCTCAGAGGTGCCACTGGGTCCCAGCCTGAATCCAGAGGGGATCCCAGGGCTTGCTGGCTTTAAACCACAACTCCTGCCCTCTCCCCTGGGCATCCATCTGTCTGGCTCCACTGAAATGACGGCGAGGTGGCGGCACAGAGGGATTAAATGACTTGCCCAAGGTCCCGTGGGGAGCGATGGCCACCTGGGAGGAGCACCCGGCTGTCCTGCTCCTGCCCCGGCAGCGCCTGGCCCTGCAGAAAAATGTGCTGCATCACAGCTTTGCTGGCAAAACACGGCACAGCCACAGGTGCCACATCCCCATCCTGGTACACCCTTGTGAGCAGAGGCAATGGATGGTCCTGGCGGGATCTCCACACCAGGACAGGGAGTGGGTGCTGCTCTTGTCTCACTGGTGTGTTCCCAGAGCTGGAGGGTTTTGCCGATTCCCTTCCCGGGCTGAGGCCGACACAGCCAGAGCCGGTGACTAACACCTCCTGGTTTTCAGCTTGTTTACCTGGCGCTGGGGCTTTGGTTTGGATGGTTGACTCACCACGGCGCCTTCCCCCTCTGCCACTGCAGAGCCCTGACAAATACTTTCCATTTTCCCATTATTTTAATTGCCCTCGTTGGAGAAAACTGCTCCATACTGGCTCTGGGCTGCAGAGACCTGTTACACATGGCAGCCCCAACCTGCGGTGGCAGTGGGGGGATGATGGGGTGGGACACTCATCTCCATGGCACATGTGGGGGCCCTTGGTGCCATGGCCGTGCCAGGATCTGGGGCATGCAGGGAATGTCCTCAGCAGTGAGTTTCCAGCAGCCACCGAATGTGGCACACGGGCGGCCGGCGGCGCGAACGCCGGCTCCGCGCGGCTGAATGCGGCCCGACAGGTTTGCGGAGAAGCCCGTCCCGTTCAGCTGGATTTTTGGAGAGGCTGGAGCCAGCCCCAGCACCAGCCGCTTCCCGCGAGGTGCTGCCGGCTCTGGCAGGGCCGTGTGTGGCGCCAGGTCGTGGCCCCGAGCCACGGAGCAGCTCGGCCGCGTCTCAGGGCAGGCACAGCCTGAGGATGAGAGACGCTGTCCCTGCTCCCTGCTCCATGCCCTGTGCCAACACCGTGCCCTTTTTTGAGGAGACAGTGCCCTGTGGCACTATGGAAAGAGCAGCCCCTTGGCTCCTGGAGGGACCCTCTAGTCTGTGGGGTCTGTGCCCCGAGGAGGTGGGGACCATGAGGACAGCACATAGAGGTGTCCATGGAGCTGCAGAGGGGCTTTTTGATGGAAAAAAACCGCTGGGCATCTGTAGGAGCTGCGGGATGCAGGGCACGCCAAGTGGATGTGGCAGGGAATAATCCAACGCTGGGGATGAAAGGAGGGAGGGAGGAAAGCGGGATCAAGGAAGGACAAAAGCTGGTTGGGAAAATCACCCGCCCTTCTCCAAAGAGCAGGACTTCTGCAGTCATGTGCCAGGTGAACCCTGGACACATGGCAAGGGTGGCAGGGTCTGTAAATCCCAGAGGGGAAAATCCTCCCTCCCTGGGGAAGGGTTGGGATGCTTTTATAATATTAGGATCAAGGAAAAAGAGGGAAAATCCACCCAAACTGGTGATATGTGTGGGGCTGGTGGCCACGTTCAGCCTGGGAGCATCGTGTGGGCTCGGGGCTGGGTGAGGTTGCACTGGAATCACTGGTGTGGGAGCGGGGTCAGACCCACAGATCTGCTGTCCCATCCCCATCCGTGGCACACGGTGCACACTGCAAGTGGCCATGGCAGGGAGAGAGAAGATTAAAGCTGCCTTTGATGGAGCAAAAATTAATAAACAAGCAGGCAATTGTGCTGGGCTTCATTTAATGGGAATGACAGCACGGAGCCGGCGTGGCGAGGCCGCCAAGGCCAGGTCCCACATCAAACGGCGGGGCAGCGCCAGGCACAAGGGGACCACGCCACCGTCTCTTCTCCAACGGGTTTTTCCTGGTCCCAAAAATCCAGGAAGGTCCATGAGGCTCTTCCTTATAGCAGGGCCCTTTCCCATGCCAGCAGGGAATATTGAGGTGAGCAGGAGACACTGTGTGCCACAGCGGGATCTGGGTGTGGCGGGACGTGCCGGTCTTGGGGGCATTTTGGAGGTGCCACTTGGCACCTTTGCTGTGTTCCCCTGCTCCAGGGTCAGCATTCTCACCTCTCTTCTGCCCCAGTGATGCTCCACAGGCACCACAGTCCCTGCCCTGGTCCTTTTGTGCAGAGTGGGGGCTCTCCAGGTGCAGAGCTGGGAGGCCAAACCTGTGGCCTCACACTGGGTCCTTATCACCCGGTCTGGTGTATTTACCTGCCGGTTTCCACCGGATAAAAACTCACTGGACAAACAGGAGTTCCCAGCTGGCCCTGGGGTGGTGGCACAGCGGGAATGTGGCTGAGGTGGGACGTGCAACCCCATCCCTGCTTTGTCCCCAGCTGGTCCCCAGTGCTGCAGGTCACAGAGATGCCGTAGGGGTGTGAGGCCGTATTGCCCCCACCAAATTTAGGTGTTCAAGGGCTGATGATCCCCAGTGTGCCCACCTGTGCCAGGGCTGGGCTGTGCCCAGGGCTGGGGATGGAGCTGGGGTCAATGGTTTGTCACCTCAGGGCAGTGCCACCGTGTGTCCCACTGCTGGGGGGCCTGGGCTGTGGGGGGTCATGGTGCTGTAGGAGGGGGGTCTGTGCATGGCAGGGCAGAGCACAGGGGGCAAAAGGCAACACCTCCTACAGGGGTTGAGCTGAGCCAAACAAAGCTTGGCTGAGCTGAGCTGAGCCAAGTCAGCCTCATCTGGGACAAGCTGCACTGAGTGAAGCCCAGCTGCACTGAGCTGGACTGGGCCAATCCGTGCTGAGCTGTACCAAGCCAAGCCGTGTCATACTAGGCTGAGCTGAGCTGAGCTGAGCCAGGCTGAAGGGAGCTGAGTTGGGCTGGGCAGAGCTAAGTCAAGCCGGGCTCAGCTGTGCCGGGCTGAGCCAAGTCAGGCTGAACTGACTTGGGCCGAAGATAGCCGAGCCGGGCCAAGTCGAGCCGATCTGTGCCAGGCTGAGCCAAACCGAGCCTAAAGGGGTCCAGCCCAGCCGAGCCGGGCCCAGCCGAGCCGAGCCCGGCAGGGCCGACCCCGCCCCCAGCTGTCATCGCC